GTTAAAGTAGGTATGCTTATAATTATCTTGCCAATTTTTTTGGCGTAGTAAAATGAGATATATTTTAACAAACATTGAACAAAATAATATTAGCTTTTCATTAAACAAAAATATGTATTTTATTATATTTGCATAGGCTACCTTAATAAATAAAATTATTTTAAAAAATCCGAAGAACGATTTAAAATGAGTATGGAATAATAATTAAATAAATTTTCAAAATGAACTATTATACTTTATACAGTGGCTCATAAGCCTTTTCGGAAAACAACTTAAATTATATAAATATAAGGCATCCGTTATGTTATTGAAAGAAGTAGGTTTTAATATAATATTTTTTAACCATAACATCATGACTTCTTTATTGAAGAAACGTTTATCTGAAGCAAACCTCTGTTAGGCTTTTCATAAAATGAAGCACCATTGTCAAATATAATAGCCTTTAAAAGATTTTTTTTAAAGTAAGAAACAATAACTCTTTGTATTTCTATTTCCAGTACATATTCTGTTTTGCATTGTTCACATTTCTATCATTGACGTAACCCATTTAGTGTTATGAAATCGTGTTTAGAATTAATTATTATGAACTCTGCAAGACCAAAGCGGTATTGTTTTTAATTGGAATATTTAAGCACAATAGTTAAGATTATTTTTAAATAATTATTTTATTTTCATAGCCCCTTATTTTATTTTATTGAAAAATACATTTGATTGAAAAAAAAAATCGAATAAAATTAACCTGACATGAAATGATCGAAATGAATAAATCAAAGCTAATGGAGACAAGTCTAAAAGTGAACTAAACTAATATAAAATATATTGTACAAGTTGAAAGTTTTGAAAATTATTAGTCTTTCAATATTTATTCAAACTAAACATTTTCTCAATAGTTAAAAACTGATTACATATGTAACTCTCAAGTGTGAAAAAAATAAAGTTAAAATTGAATTGCTCAAGACTATAATAAACAAATGGCATTGCTTACTTATCAGATATACCAACACTTCAATTGAGTGTTTAGTCTATATTCCTAACTAAACAAAGGTACTTGAAACATTCTGATTGGAGATCTATTTGCTTTTATTGAGGGAATCATTTATCAATGAAGACGTTGATACAAGCATTTTCAGAAACATTTGAATTGACGTAAACGTTATATTTTATTTACTATTGGTTTCATGATCACGCAATTTCCTAAAATTATCTTTAAAACAGTGTCTAGAGGTAGTATTAAGAAGGTTATTGATTTGATATTAACTTTTATATTCTCAAGAGTACAAATTATCGATAGACGCAATGCCGAATTCATAAACTGCTAGGTCATGCCGTGTTTTATTAACGCTTGGTTCTGAAGGCCGCGTTCAATTCGTTGAAGGTTCGAAGCCGAGTAATAAATACTGGTGAAAATTCTCTTATGCCATTCATCAATAGTTTAATTTTACATAAATTACGTCGATTGATATATTTCTTGTAAATTTTCAAATAAAAGGGTGAGAATCAAAAGTCAATTATCGGACATTACATTTTAACTCTGGCATTTATCTCCAGCTCTCACTCCCTTGATCGGAAAAATCCCGTACAGCCTAAATGGCGACAAAAAAAGTATGGCAATATGACCTACGATGTTTTTAATTCTACTTTCACTTGCACGGTTTTTATGTAGAGAAGAGCAATAAAATATCTTGAGACGATAAGGAGGAGAGGGGAAGTTCAGACGCTATCGATCTTATGATGGGCACTTCTGGTCAAAAGTGCTTAGCATGCCCTAGTTTAAGAAAGTACTCAATTAAAAATTGAAAATATTTATATTTTGTTTTATAAATTATATTTTAAATAATCTGACTAACAATGAACTTAAAATCGTATTTCTTGTTTGGATTTAAGTATTTTAAAATATATATAAAAATAATATTATTTATATACATAAATATTAGTTATCATGAGAAACTATATGTAACAGGGCTGCAACTGGTATTTGGTGTTAATCATGGAAAATATTAATTTCGCTCATTGATGTTGGATCGTACTCCACTACCCTAACGTCAAGAGAAGTCGAAAGTCCGAGGCACAAATTTTCTCTGGTACCCATCAAATATTAAATTCATCGATGAAACTCAATCTCGTCCAATATAATTTTTACAACTAAAAGATGATATAACGATATTAGGTAACTAAATAATATATGTAACCTTTTGTTTTAAAAATTGTATAAGATCAAAAATAAAACCTAGTCTGGCAGGCCTGACTTACGCACAGTGAGAAAAATGACTGATTTATGTGGACAAAAGTCAATCTCACAATTGTTATCCATTCAATGCTCGTTGTTTACTACGATAGTTGAATATTCCAAAAACAGTATTACAAGTTTTAGAAAGTAATTTATAAACACTTTGTGGACATTTGTATTTATGATTGAACAAGTTTTGCGTTTTTATCGAACTGAGTTCTTTCATGGATTTTCGACAATTAAGTGGCTCCTATGTTCTTATTTATAGATGTATATAACTTTACTGATATGGATGGTTAATGGCAAGATAAGCAAGACTAATAACTATAGGAATATTGTTTGGAAAAAATTCAAATTACTATCTTCCAATGGCATAGATTAACTTCAGAAGTAAAAAAGTTTAAAAGTAGTGAAGCGTAGCGCGGTGACCTTTGCATGGTTTAAAAGGAAATTTAACATAGTTTCTAAATATGACCTTTCCAACGGCTGAATGCGCAAGTTTAGGATTTATTCTATTTTTTAAAGAAAAAGTGTAGATTGAAAAATAATAACCATTTAATAAATTGTGTTTTTAGAGGTTCATAAATAAGCTGAATTTGAACAGTGGAATTGGTTTCTGTTTTTTAGTTAGGAAGAGGGATTATTTGTCAAATTTTAACCCAAGAAGGTAATGCATCCAACGTTTTTATTATACTTAAAGTAAACATAGAATATCACATTAACCATAACTTATTTTTAGTAATTCCATTTATAGAAAAAAAATTTTTGTTTTATTTATTTATAAATCAAAAAAAGTATAAATTAGTAAATCGATTAACATAAAACTAATAAATGTTTATGAATAATACATAACAGTTTTCTTGGTGGTATTTACTTTTCTAGCGTGATTTTAAAACCAACATTATTCCTAATGACGGAGACACGTGTAATAAATAACATATTATATTAAATTACTTAATAAATAACTTAATTCTTGAAATTGGACAACATTACATGAAATTCAGAAATCAAATTCCAAGGAGGTTTTTTTTTTATTGTTTTTTTTTAGTTGAAGAATTGCTAAATATCAAAAATGCGGAGAAAGTTTTAAGCTTTATGTGTATTTGTGGGATCTAAAAGATGCCTCCTGATAAAGAAAAATCTAAAATCATAAAGATAAAAATTCTGCAATTCTTTGAACAGTTCAGGAACCGGCGCGCGAGTTCTTCAAGTACATAGCGGCATTACCTGGTTATAAGAATAACTTGCATTAGATGAATTCGAGAATTACGTTTCAAAAACAAGAAAACTTTATCTACATCAATCCGTGGTGCTAATTTTTTCTATTGTTATATTATAATTAGGGATAGTTTCATAAACATATTAGTTCATATTTTTTGACGATGATAATTACTTTTCTTGGCATCATTGTGTTTATTACTTCTCTTTCAGCATTTTTCTGGTTATTTTTCTAAAATTAAGTCAAATAAATAAATTCCAAGAGTCAAGTATTATTACTTTTCTTTCAGCATTTTTCCGGTTATTTTTCTAAAATTAAGTCAAATAAATAAATTCCAAGAGTCAAGTATTCTAATCTTCTTCGTCTGACCTGGATAATAAAACATTTATGATTTTGATGTATATTTTATTTAAAAGCTAAGGTATTGAAGAATTTACTGTTGACACTTTGAAGGATCGATCCATAAATTTTCTTAAGGGACACAAAAAAAAAAACTCTTATGGAGCTTTAAATGTGATTTAACGTTTTACAGCTTAGGATAATGCAAACAAGAATACTACTGTTTTACGTAGACTCCACTACTACTCAGAAACTTGAGGAAATAATAGATGGTCAAATGGGGTTAGAACTCGAAATTTTTTAACTTTACAAAACATTAAAAAAATGCACTATATAATTCAAACTTCGATATAATATTAACAGAAAGGAGAAATAATATTGTATTAAACTATAAGAAAACATTCAGTCTTCGTTAGTAACATTAAGAAACTGTTTCTCTTGGTCATATGGGATTCTTTCGCGTTTTCCTTTTAGGGGGAACGAGTTACAAACAAAATATATATAAAAAAAAATACTGATTGCATTTTAATGTAATATAACATTATTTTTAAAATTAAAAATTTTAATTTAACTTTGGGTTCATCAATGGCCACTTTTGATATCTTCACCCAAGAAAATAATGCCTAGAGTAATGTTTCATGACTTGATTTAATATTACATTATTAAATTATTGAGGTTGCTTTATAGCATTCATTTATTAATGAGCGATTGTTCAACTGATTTTAAATGGATGTTTTTAGCGTTTAACATCTTAACAACTCGATCCTGAAAACCCATTTAAATTCACACAGAAGCGTTCAAATATATCGATTATGTATACTTAATGAAAAATTATAATTATGTTGCTATAAAAACAGTTATATCTATAAATTCATCTTAAGTAACATGTGTAGCTCAAATTTGTGTTATTATTTTACATCGAACTTATATCATTAATCTGTCAAATTATAAGTATTATTGTCAGTATCGTTAGGAGTTATAATGATTCAATTATTTAAAGATGCGTTGAGTTAAATAACGTTCTTGAGTTTTCGATCTTAAGCATAATAATTATTTAGAATTGTTTTAATAAATAATTGTGAGTTGCCAATACAAACGTTGTTTTCCTTATCGGGAGGTTACTAAGGACAGAGTGGGGAGCTTCAAACGTTGGTGTAAAAGGGAGCTAGAAGGTTATACCGCTAAAGTCGTGGTCGTGTTACCTTCAAATTTTAAATGGTGAAAATGGGCTTTAACGATAGAGCCCTAACTTTTGGGACATTATTCTCTGTTTTGTGCATCCTCTATTCAATTTACAGAAGGGATCCAACTGTTGACTTACAAGAAAGACTTGTCAGAGTTATTAACGGTTTAATACAAGTTGAAGATCAACACATTACTGTCACCCCCAAAGTTGTCATTGGATATGGAGCCTGTGTTGATTTATTTGTCAATGCTAAAGATCTACTACCTTACAAGGATGAAATTGGATTTCCAGAACATTTTGACAATATTAACTCCATTGATGAATTTTACAAATCATTTGCGTATTTTTTTCAGCATGGAGCTGCCTCTGAGTGAGTAGTATTGTAGTTCTTGTGTTTAAATTTAACAATCTAAATGTTGACTCAGTAATGTTGTCATGTCATTCACCCACCTTCTGTCAATTTTGTTCTGAATGACCTTTTGCTTCTCTTTAATACCAGAATCAGTATGATTTGTTTTTCATCTCTCAAGATACCTTGTAAAGACTAACGTATTTGTGAAGCAACATTAAATATTTTCTATAATTAAGTCTATGGCTCAAACAACCTGAAAAATTGTCTTATTGACCCAAACAATAAAGTACTATTTAACACAAAAATGTGTTTTCTCTTCGGTCAATTATAAATTGAATTATTTCATTAATGGTCACTTAAAGACCACAGGAGCCTCAGACTTCAGTATTAGACTAAATTGTTTGATAGACTTTTAATTTATCATATTTCTGTATTACTTTGTTTTATAGGAAGTGATTTATATTTCTGTACAATGATAAAATGATTCGATTAGTTTAGAAAGAGTCCTGTGGCTTCTGTATGTATTCTTGGTCTAGGTTAATATCAACTATTCTATTGATTCCATTGGTCTTGGATTCTTATAAAATTATAATATATTAGTTTATAATTAGCTAATATACTAATTTACTCTGGCATCCAGCGCCCTTGTTTGATTTCTTGTAATTATAATTAATAGGTACTTTACATCACACTAAAAAAAAAAAATGTTTCTGATTAAAATTCGGAATGCCAATTTTATGAGTAAAGTAATAACTATATTTAAATTCAATTTTTTTTTCTTAAACTGTCAAGGGAAAAAAAGGTGTCACTTCTTATTTTGACCGAGTTATTGGTATCAATGGATTCAGAATTTAATTTTTTGTGTTCTTGTTCTCTGTAACAATGGAATGAGTCAGATTAGTTTATTGAAGCCATATTAATCAACAATTAGTATATTTCAATCAAAATTGTAATTATTTATATGAGGACCGCATGGGTTATGCAGGGTTCACAATCACTTCATTCACACTTGTTCATGAAGTGCCGAATGCATCTGGGTTTATCTGAAAGACTGTTTTCCAATTACCAAAATTGTTTATTTCTTTGGCCCTTAAACTGGACTCCTTGTTAACATTAATCTTATATCACTTAAATTTTCTGTTATATTTAAATAAATCTTTTACTAAAAATTATTCATTGTCAATCCTTCCACCATTTGTCACTGTCCTGTGCGGATCTCGTCCTGTTTCTTATTCCGAAAATATTTCAAGCATCTTTAGTCACACTGTCAAACCATTATAATCTAGTCCTTCCTCTCCTTCTTGTGTCATACAATCGTTGCTTAAGGAGCTTCTGGGTGTATTGTATTGATAGTTGAGGAATTGTTTTTACTTTCACTTACATATATATGTAATATAAGTATTGCGTATATATATGTAAGGGTAAGTATTGCGATTTTGAAAATTTTCGAATCACAGTTTTCAACGGAAATACATGTTTTGAGGTCCCCTGAGTTCAATAACCAAGTGTCGCAAAATGGTCTGTGTGTGTGTGTCTGTCCGTGTATGTGTGTTAACAGTCTAGCTCATAAACGAAAAGTAGTACGAAACTGATATTAAGTATTTAAGGTTTGTATATTGGTCGGATGTGACAGCAACTTTTTCATTAAAATCGGCTAACCGGAAGTGCCACTTTATATGAACACTGAAACACATTTTTACAATTTTCTCAAAAAGGGCTCTAACGATTTAGATCAAACTCGGTGTATCATTGTATAATTAAGTGGTCTTTAATATCATTTAGGTCTTATCCCTGTTAATGTCACTTTACCGGGCTTAAATGCCCAATGTTCATATATTTCTTCCTCTAAAATACCTTTAATATGATTTATTTTAAAAAGTTAACTATTTCGCATTATTCAGAGTTATGAAAAAATGCTACATATAACTTTTGAAAGAATTTGATAAGTTAATAAAGGAGAAAAAAAATAAAAATGCAGAAAAAATTGCGTTGCTATAGACTGTAGCGCTAAACGAATGTACCGATTTCAATGAATCTTAAATTTATCTATATAACATACTTCAACGAAAAGTAGCTGGAAAATAAGTTACGAGGGATGTTAAAATTAAATTGCGAATAACTTAAAAAGTATACGCTTTTTTTGGAATATTGTATATGGTTTTTTAAAAGTTTATGGAATTTCCTAAAAAAACAAAATAAGTAATAAGTACCTAAATTTATACCTTTATTCTCAGTTCTATATTTCAACACTGCAATCACCACCTCTGGAATCAACTTACTCATTGTCTGCATTGATAACTTTTTCAACTAATAATATCACTAAAATGACATCACTCAAAAATGTTGAAATTGTAGTTAGTCATTCTGTAGTTTATAAAAGCAAAGAAATTTGTGTAGTTTATAAAAGCAGATGGAGTGACTAGATTTTTGTTACCTGTCGTCGATATATTAAATAGACATTTTGTAATTGTAAAGTTCTTAATGACTTGTTATCTGTAAGCTTTAAGCTTTAGTTCCGTTTAAAATGCACTTCAAAAAATTTTATAATAGCCCTGCATTGCCAGAAAATAATTTCTATTCAAAGTAGATCGGTAAGTGAAAGTTTTGTGTTGTGCACAACAGATTTTTTATATTATGATCTTTGCTTCATAATAGTAGTTAAAGTTATTGGTAGTATACAGAATATTAATAAGAAATTATTGATTTTATAATTTCGAATAACAATTAAAGGCAGTAATAGGTGGGATGTAGTGTCTTCGGGTGGAATTTTAATTCTTGATTTGAATATTAATTTCAATTCTAATTCATATAATATCATTTTAGAAGATTCATGACAAATTCAACACTCTTTGACACATTAATCAAGGATGCTGAGAAACTTCCGGATTCACGATATGAAATTGGTGGCAATGCTCCTGTAATGGCCATTAGGCTGTTTCATGAAGGTTGCGATGTGACTCTTGCTTCTACATTGACACCGAAACATTTGAAAAGCATTCCGTCTGGTATAAAAGGTATATATTTTCAAATAACTTGTATTGTTCATAACAAAATATGCATTCTGATTAATAATTAAACATTCAAACCTCTGTTTATTGAATTTCCATAAATTGAAAAACTCTATGTATCATCCTGTTTTAGGAACCTTCAGTTTTTATCAGAAAATATTATTCTGTATATTGAACATATAATCACATTTACGCTAGATATAAAATGAAATTTTCATTAAAAATGTACTCTAATTTATGTTCATGAGAATAGTTAATAATTAAATAAGAAATAATCCACTTCAGTGTTTCACTAATCATTAAAAATTCAATCACAGAAGACCATACGATGAATCAATTAAGTTACCTATGGATATGAGATTCTTTGAATTTTTTTTTTAACATAGAGTTAAATTATTTTAAATTTAGTTTAAATTTGATTTGATAAAAGCTGTAAAAAGCACATTTTAAAATAATGATATGGCAACTTTATTTAAATTTAACAAAATTTAAGCTCCATTGTAGTTTGGTGGAATCTGATTTATATATATATATATCACTAAAAATTAAAAACTATATATTTATATATATATATATATATATATATATATATATATAAGAAATGAAATATCGTTTCTGTTATATATTTATGATTTTTTAAATCAAAACAGAAAATGAAATAAAATTGCATCTTAAATCCTATAATGATTTATGCCTATGATTTAAAAAAATATAACAATTTAAAAAAATATATTTATTTAAAAACTTTTTGTTTTTTTATTTGTGAGTATGACATTGATTTGTTGTTGTTTCATTTATAAAAAAAATGTTGGTAGTATTAAAAATATTGAATAATATTGATGTAGTTGCTAGGAGTGCTTATTTTTTAGTTTCTGGTTTGTTATTTTATCAGTATGATATCAACAAAAGTAAATTTTATAATATTCACCTTATCTTATCAAAAATTAATCAGTTTGAAAAAAATCGTTCCTTATTCTCTATTTTTTTTTTATATTACAACATATTAGACAACAAAGTTTTAATTACTTTTAAAATAGATATTATTTATTGATTTTTTTGGTGATGACCTTGTATATTCTTGATCCCCCCTTTTTAATTTTTTTTTTAATTTAAATAAAAATCACAAGTATTTTATTTCCTGTTTATCATATTGTTTAGCTATTCACTCTGTCAAAATATTTTATCTTGCCTTAAAACATAGACTGACAAAATTATAAATTCATCTCATTGAATTTGTTATAAACAGTTGAGTTAGGAGGACATATGATGGTAATACAAAATAAATGCACATTTGCTGTTCTGTGAATAAAAATGGATGATTTGAATAAAATTGATAATATTACTTGGAGAAAGGAAACAAATAATTAAAACCTGTTAGATTATCGAGTTCTGAGTCATGTTTCAATTAGTGGCTATTTATAAGTCTATATTTTTCTAGATCATTCTCATCAATGTAGTTCACTTTATATCATTATTTATTCAGTACAATTATTGAAATCATTTTTTTTTTTTTACTACTCCAACATATTTGGTGGGCATAAATCTCAAATTCAACAGATTTTGTTGGTAACAAGTTCAAAGAACTTATCCCCGCCCCCTGGATTCGATAGGCTTGAATCCATGTTTGGATTTAATGTAATCACCAATCATAATCCGCTGCATATATTTTTAGTACTGCTGCCTTTATTAATCATTATTATTAATTTTTAATAGTAATTATTATTTTTTCTTTATTAATGCATTCTATGAAGACCATGGATCATGTTTTTTCTTTTGACATTTGTCAAGTATGTGTTGCAATATATAATATCAAGTAAAACCCATGGTGATTTACTTTATTGAATAAAGGATTAGATAATTTAAATAATAAAATAAATCATACAAATGGAAAAGTCAATTAAGGATTTACTATGCAATTTGAGATCTGAACTTAGGTAACAGTCTATCCTGAACATACTGCATCAAGTTAATGTATTTTTAATATATATCTTAATGTTATTTTAGTTAGCTTTGATTTTCATTGCTTTTAATATTTTTTTTTCTTTTAATATCTTAACAATATGCATTTAATTGTATGAAGATTTATTTTTCAGTATTAGTGTGGCTTAGCTTGTCTCACTGCTTTTTAATTTTGTTTATTTGTCTTATATTTATAACATAAAAACAAGCATGGGATTGTACTTCTAACAATATGTGTCTTAGTTGTGGGCGAGACTGTGACAAGGGACGATATTCATTTGATATTGGAATATAAGGCTCAAGAGAAATGGGGCCCATATACCGCTCCGAGGGCTAATAGGTAAGGTGCAACTGATGCTAAGTGTTATCAATATTTATATTGATTCAGTTATTATTTATATCAAATTGGAATTTCATTTATTTTAAATATGGCTTAGTTTTATATTGAAACTTTAATTAACTAAGGTAAAGATGGAAAGTTACCGGTATGGATATATGAATACAATAGAATATGCTTTATATTCATAAAATATCTATAGTATCAAGATATAATAATTAACTGAAAAATAAGCAAATGTCAGTTTTATTAACATTGCTCATAATTCTTCTTTCCACAATTTTCCCACTGTACTTCTACAGTTCAGTATAATAGTCATTGACTAACATCTTAACCTTAACCATCCCTTTTCTCATATAGCATTGTACTTATATTTAAATCTTTTTTCATTATTTTTCCATTGATATTCAACCTTACGGACTATTTTTTTATTGAAATATTGTAGGCTTACTACTAAAATCTCTCATGTCTTTGTTAGACTTGATACATTTTTAACTTATGGCTTTATGACTATACTAACATGTTATGTTTAAAATTAACATTAAATGAGGTCCAAACATAGTTGGTTTTGCTTGGAAACATTTATAGAGTTTTTATTAGTCTAAGTTTTCCTGAAATTTTGGAACATATCTGAGATTTTGTTTTTCAATTATTTGGGAATTCACAGTAAATGCAAAAGTTGGAAAAGTCATCAAGAGTTCTCAACTTTTGTTCCTTCAATGCTTACTGTGGGATTGGTTCGTGGCACCAATAGTAATTGAACACACCCCAGTGGATGAACACTTATCGATTAACTGCTTAAAATAAGTCTTATTACCATCATGTGGTATTTAAATTATTTGTGGTTACATCAAAATCCACTAAAAACAAATCTTTCTAACAATCAACTAAGTTCTTAGAACTTGAAGTTTCTTATTGAGGAGGGTATGATAGTTGTAAGAAAACACTTCACAAAATGAGTCTGGAAAGGAGGTGAAGTAGGTGATATGATTTAACATGTTTTTTAAGTCTCCAGTATTGTGGATTAGAGTATTTTTAAAATGTTTAATATTGTACAAATTATGTAAAATTATTATTATTAAAGATCAGTTTAGTTAGGAGCCATACAATTTGTCTTTTATCTTGCTTCATAACAAATAGAATAAATTATATCATTGATAGTAAATTGTAAACTAGTATATAAAGTAATTGCCACTGTAGGGGACGAGGTTGCCGATTGGGCAAACGCATGTGCAAAACACGTATTGTCTGGCAACCTCTTAAACCTAAGATTACAAGTTCAAGTTTCAGCACTGGGGGAGAGGTGGATGCTTTTAATTTTAGAATTAATCCCCTGGCCTCAATGTATATATGCATATACATGTATAATGTCTTATTACAACTATTATGATGATCTAGACTTTTTCCTATTGCCTATCCTTTATCCCAAACTATCAAAATGAAATGGATAATTTGGTGACCTTTGGCCTAAAATATATATAAAAAACTTATGAGAAAATGGCACCAAACCTGAAGGATGTGACTAGAAAATATCAAAATATATGTGGCTTTTTTTGAGCCTACTGGGTCAATTTTTTTGTTTTTTCAATTTGGTCCTAAATAACTTTTCACCTGAGGGAGGTATTACAAGGGAATTTGATATAATTTGTCATTTAGTTTCACAATGGAGGCTGACTAGATCTTTCATTTGTCAGTGTTCACGCTGTTTCTGTGAGATGGCTGAACCTTTTTTTATTTTTTTCATTTGTCACCTAAAGCCACATATCATACCAGAATGATCCTCAGATCTTGATATTACCAACTCCTATTTTAAAAAATTGATGAAAAATCTTGGACTATGAAGTCTTAAAAAAGTTAAATAAATAAAAAATAAAATGAAAAATGTTACGGTATCTATTTAGAAACAGTAAACCCTTGTGTAATAATAAAGAAGCAAAACTGGAAAAGGGTTGGGCATGCTCTCAGTAAAAAAGGTGAGGCAATAGAAAAACGGTGCTACAATTGAATCCCTACGAGAAAAGAAAGAGAGACATGACGCAGATCTGCAGAGAAGGAATTAGAACAGAATGATAAATTATGGAATGAGGCAAGCAGGATTGCTGCTGATTGAAATGAATGGATAACATTCATGGATGCCCTATACTCCAATAGAAGTCAACGGAATCAATAATAAAATAAATAATAATTTGCAGTATTTAATAGTTCCAAAAATCCAGATATTAGAGGTTTAAATCTTTTTTGGGTGAAATAATAAACTTTTCATATCATTCTCAGGCTCAGAAGATTAAAGTTAGGAAAATTTTGATTATAATGAAGTTTAGTTGTAATGAAATACTAATTTTAGTTAAAATGTGTGTTTAGTTATATTTTAAGTCACTTATATAGATGTAAACATTTGCATGTTGTGAATCAAGCCCAAAACATAAACTTGGTAGGAATATATGCTGAATCTAATGAGAGGCAGAGTGATTTTTTACTACAGATTAATTTGATTTGTTCCATAAAAGTGTAAGTTATAACTACAGAATTTAATCTTTCCTCATTTTTAGGTATATTCTGCATAATGATCAGCACAATCCGTACATAAGGCCACTTGAAGCACTACAAGAGCATCTCACACAGTCTTCACCTGACTTATTTGTGGTCAGTGCCCTTCAATTGATGGACAATTATGGATATCCTGTTGGTAAGTTGAGTTAATATTTTCTTTTTCTTTTTTTAGTAGAGTACTATTACAAATAATAATAAACCTGGTCCTTAACTACCTACTTATGGAAATTCCAGCTTTCATGGCAGGTGGTAAGGGTCTAGTCTGATATTGAAACACTTTCATTTTTAAAATTTAAATAACTCGAGAGAGGTGAAGCAGTAACAAGAATTAAAAACTTATTTATCTTTGAATCATTGTCTTTTTATTCCTTCTGGCCTAACTGGGACTTCCAACTGAGAGAATAATTGTGTATTTTGATTAGAATTCATACTTTGTATGACATAATGTATACAATGTACAAATAAAAAGATAGATTTAACTTCTATAAATTATTTTGATAAATTTTATTGTTCTGATCTTGGCGAAAGTCAGACATAAAACTAAAACATTAGGCAATATTTAAGTATGATTATATATAATAAAAAATATTTGATAATTTATTAATATTATTATATCCTTTAACTTGTAACTCTTCTTTATGAATTTTATTAAATAAAATTACTTTACTACTTTATAAATCATTACTACTATGGAACCAGATAGGTAATTAGAAAATTTTGCTTCTGACAGAGAAATAGGTATAAAATGGTTGACTTCTGGTGTACTATTTTTTTTTTAAACTAAAGTTTTGTTAAGTTCAGTATCGTTTCTTTGGTATTCTTCTGAGCTGTTTTAGGGTTAATAAAATATTTATTGTTTAATTCATCATGAAAACTGAGTAACCTATACTATTGAAATAAAAAAAGTAGTCTATAAATAGAAATAAAAATAATAAAAAAACTGAAGTTTTCAGTGGCTTTTTACACTTGCTATTTTTTTTTCTTTTCATTTATAGTGTATGAATATTTTTTTTTTTTTAGGTGTTAGAACTGAAAGGTTGAAGAAAATCATGAAACAAATCAAAAGTCTTCCTCGTAAAACTAAGATACATTTTGAAATGGCTTCATTTACTGAAGAGGCACTGATCAAAAATCTTCAGGAATACATTATTCCTTATGTTGATTCTATTGGAATGAATGAGCAGGTAATGTATTCTGGAAACTATATTTAGTGACAAAGATATAAAAAGAAAAAAAAAAGTATATGAAGAATACTGAATTATTTTTAACAATTGAGGTGGTAGCTAAAAGAATATTTGCTGAGAAAAAAACAAAACAAGTTAATAGGAATAACCATGTAAAGTTTTATTATTATTATAACTGGTGACTCCTGGTGGAGCCTAGGGCATCTACAAGTGCATCCCATTCTTCTCCTTTTGCAGCAACCTTGCCAGACCAGTTCAGGTAATGTTGCTCAGATCTCCGCCATATTTCTCTTGGTCGTCCTCTTCTTGTTCCTTAGGGATTCCATTGAAGAGCTTCTTTTTCGATCGCACTATCAGGTTTCTTTAAAGTGTGCCCAATCCATTTCTATATCTTTTTCCTTATTTCGAGGTGAATACTTCAGTAGTACTCCAGAGCTCTGCATTAGAGATCCTCTCAGGCCACCAGATTCTCAAGATTTTTTGCAAGCAGAGGTTGATTAAGTTCGGATTAGGTTGGGTAACAGTTTGAGTCACATTCCATGTTTCACTTCGGTAGAGCAGGACTGATTTTACTTGGTGTTAAACAATCTTATTTTTGTTTTATTCGACAGTTTATTGTTCTTCCATATTGAATTGAGTTGAACAAACACCCCATTAACTTTTTTGATTCGGTTTTTAACATCTTCCAATGAGAGCCCCCTTCTTTAGTTATCCTTCTCAAGTAGATGAATGATTCCAACTTTGCTTGTTTACTCGCATATCCTTCGATTTATCTATATTGGTTCACAGTCCAACTCGATTTGCAATTTGGCTTAATTCATCTGACTTATCCTCTTTGCGCATGATCGTTGACCCACTGTCACCAATCCATCCAAACGTTTTTTTTTTATCAGCCGTTTGGAGGCATTGTTTTCCTCTTGAACACTGGCTTTCTGCTGTCTGGTCTTGCTTTAGTTGACCTTTTGCTTAAGCTGCTATCTTTTTCTTCCTTCTATCTCCTTTCAGGTTTCCTCAGTCATCCACTCCTTCGGAGATTTTCATGGCTAAGACAAGATTCGTTTACTTCCAAGATACTTGATTTGATGGCCTTCCAGTGTTTGTCAATGGAATCATCGTCCATCTGCAGTACTTGGAATTTGTTGCTTAGTTTAATTTTAAAATCCTCTTTTAAATTTTTGGGATTTTGAGTTTCCTCGCTTCCAGCTGCTTCATATCTTTCTCAGATCTGGTGGTAGCTGAGATTGTTTTCATGCAGAAGGTAGAAAGCATGAGATGGTGATCACTTCCCACATCGGTTCCTCTTATGTTTCTCAAATTCTAAAGAGAACGTCTAAAATTCCTACTGATGGCTATGTGGTCTATCTGGTTCTTAGTGCTGTAGTCTGACAAAACCCATGATGCCTTATGACAATCCTTATGAGAGAAGAGAGTGCCTCCTATAACAAGGCTATTTTTGGTGCAAAAGTTTTTGAACAACTCTCGATTTTCATTGGCCTACCCAACTCTATGTGTTCAATTCCCTAGTTATCAGTACCAACTTTAGCATTCATATCTCCCATGACGATTATTATGTCTCTTTTTGGAGTGTTGTGGAAAACATCCTTGAATGCACGATAAAATTCCTCTTTTCTTTCCACTTCAGAAGGTTCTGTAGGAGCATAACATTGCTCAATGGTTATAATTTCTGATAGTTGTTTTGAAGCAGGCAGTTTTCAGTCTATCAGAAACTGGCCTTTAGTCTATTAGACTCCTTCTAGATGATCTTGAGAGCAGAATGCCTAGCCCAGATCTATGTTCCACTCTGTCACCGTTTCGCCATAATTTAGCCATTTTACTTTACTGAGTCTAAGTATGTCGATTTTCTCTCTCCATTTCCTTCTCCACTTGTCTCAGCTTTTTCTTCTCATATAATGTGTGCACATTCCAATATCCAATTTGTGTTTTCCTCTTCATGCCAAAAGTTGTTTCCTTAGATCTGGTCTGGTCTTTACTTGTATTTGTTTCTGTAATATTTATTTATTAAGTAATAATTTATTTAAGAAGACTATTAACCCATAGCCTCCGAGTCAGATGGAGAAGCTGACTCCTCAGAGGTCCCTTGTCCTCTGATGGGGTGGCTACTTAGGGAAGGTGACCCTAAGGAGAATACTGTTTGACATTTTTACCCAGTGTGTGGGTAAGTGTAGTGTGCTGTAATTAGTGTATATCTATGTGTGTCAGTGAACTGTTCCCGCAACCTGGAGGACTAGTGGCTATCTGCGGTTCTGTGACTGGGCGATGGAACCGCCATCTGCCTACATCGAAAGTTTTATAGATGGAATAATTTTGATAAAATCTTGTTTTTTTTGGTATTAATTTCTGATACTGTGTATTACGGGGTATGAAAAACACTTGATTTTAGGTTGAAAGTCAGTAGTATATTATACAAAAGATGAGAGGAGAGTCATATGCCCTATTTTTTATATTTTATTTTTATTTTTTTTATTAAAAAGCTTTTTATATAGAGAATACAAAGTAGGAAAAAAAAATCAAATGTTATAATGAAAAGATAAAAAAAATACAAATTTTCATTCTCATTCTGGTTAGAAGAAGTTTGGTTGTACCTTTAAAATAGAACAACTCCTACCATTATTCAAATTTTAAAATTTAAAAAAATTCTTATCTAGAATTTTAAGAATTCAATATCTGAAAAAAAATCTTTTGACCAAGAACAGCTTTTTTCCAATTGCCACCTCAATTGAACTTTTCCCCTTATCAATGTGGGTTTTATAATATTGAATTAAAAACACTATTTAGGTAAATAATTATCTTTTAATTTATCCAAAGTATATTTTTTACTGTTTTCTAGGAGTTGGCCAACTTGTACAGTGTGTACAAATATGGTAACATCAGTTTTGTATCTGATTCTCGACCAAGAGTTGCTGTTGTTTTAGATCATATGAGAAGCATCTTTAAGTAAGTGAAGATTCTCTTATTATTTATTGATTATTTAAAAATAAAGAACAAACTTAATTAATATGAAATTTGAAATTAATTGAATTATACAGAAAATCAACTTATTTGAATTCTTCAATTGTATCAATAAGTTAATTAAGTTAGTATTGGGAAATAAGATTATTTATTTATTATTGAAGAAAACTTAGTTTTAATAAAAATTATTACAGAAAATTACAGTGCTAGATATTTATTGAGTTTGATTAGGATTTATAAAGATACAGTATCTGACTAGACTCTCCTTAGAGGAGACTTAAATAAGATTTCTAGCAATAAGACAAAAAATAAAACAATTTATTAACATGACAAGTCTTATGGAGAATTAAGATGATGCAGGATCCTGTCTGAAGATGGGATATAAGTAAATCACGAAAAGTTATATATAATGATATAATTGAGTGGAAAAAAAAATGGGAGAATAAATCACTGTGAAAAAATATTCTTACTTATATACCTAATCACAATTTTAATTTGATAAAAAAAGTGGGAGAAAAATATTATGTTTTAACTTGAAAATGGCAAAGAGTAAAAAAATGTTTTGAGAGATATTTCACAGTGCCTGATATTTGTCTTGGAACAAGGAAAGGGTTCAGTCATTGAATATTTACAAATTAAATGTATTTATTGAACTCTTAATTATTCAACATATCATCGGTTTATTGCAAAAAGTCACTAAGTGCATTTTTGATATAGGTTAACTTTCAAATATGCATTTGTGAATTTCAATCTTACTCATCAATTAAAATAACATCAAGAGAAAATAATGCAAATCCTTTTATTTATCACATATAGTTACACTAAATGAAATGCACAGTTTTCTGATTTCACATATGGAAAATTCATCATAGTTCTTTATTATTTGAGGTAATGAAATGTCACTTAATGAGTTTTTGCAATAAAGTGATATATATATATATATATATATATATATATATATATATATATATGTAAAAAAGTTAAAACAGTTTTCCATTTTTCCATATGTGAAATCAGAAATATATACAAATGGAATCTACCATAATATGATACAAATACAAATAATATGATTTATATACCAATATATATATATATATATATAAACTGTTTTTTTATACTTGTTCCCAAAAATGAAGATAAAAGTAAATAATAAAATTAATTAATAGTGTCGAAATCCTTGACTGGATCATGCCAAATTCAAGTGACTTGCTCTGGAATTCTGTACCTGTCGCCCAGATGAAGCCTATAAAAGCCTAACTAACTAAGACCAGGATGTTAGCATACATTAAAAATTAGTTTTCTTTTATCTGTGCTTTTTTTTTCTTGACCTCGAACCTTTACTCTCCAAATTCTATATCTCTTCATCTCTTCCAGAATCCTTCGATCTTGGAGTCGTTTAACAATCGGAACAAGGAGGTTGAATAGAATCCATGTCCACACTTTAGCTTTCCAGGCTATACTCACGACCAAAGATTCACCCTGGAAGCAGAATGATGTAGCCGCAGCTAAAGCATCACTTACTGCTTTTAGGCATGTTTGTGACTCCTCGCAGGTAAGCTCTATCAGAGGGATTATCTTTCAAGCTGCTTTGATTATGATTTATTATTATTATTACTTAATATTAAGCAATTATATGAGTTAGTATTTAATGATAATTAGTGAGTATTAGTGGGCGGGGTAGCCGAATGGGCTAAGGCGTGTGCACAGCACCGCCGTTGCCCGGCAACCTGATATATCAATCAAATGATATAAAATAGCCACGAGTTCGCGTCCTGGTGCGGAGGGAGTTTTTTGAATTCCTGCCCACACTCCCTGGCCCGGGAAAACCCCGTATAGCCTTAACGGCGAGGAAAGGGAGGAACCAAAAAAAAAAAATAATAAATAAAAATTAGTGAATATTGATCCAATCATTGTTTTATAGATAATAATACAACAGATTCATTAACTGAGGATTCTTATAAGCACTTGGCCTTAAAATGTTGCATACAAACTGAAATCACTCCAAAACAAATGATATTTCACATAATTTAATTATATAAATAACGCCTTGTGGTCAGGCATTTTGTGTGAGTGCATTAGAGCTGGAGCAATTCAATACAATTTACTGTTATTATTTTGATCATATCAACAATCTATCTAATCTATTTTTTTGTGTATGTTTATACTTCATCATAAATGATCATAAAAGATCAACAACAACATTAATTATCTATATAGCTTTATTTACCAACCCATCAATACAAAAATAATTACTACCTGATCCACGCTCAACTATTTTTAAATGTTCTGACCACAATCTATTAAAATGAACATTATAAGAGACTCCAACATATCTCTACCTGGGGTAGAGATCATTATAGAATATAAGTGGTATAACAAGTATACATTTTTTAAAAAGATAATAGAATCCTAAGCTTGTAATATTAATAAATATTGGCAAAACAGTTTCCTCCTAAAAACTATCACTCAAGAAACGAATGCAGTGTAAAAGTAATTGACAATGGATTTCCACTGCTGTTCCCAAAAACTGTTGAATTGGTTTGTTATTAAGAATTATTATTTTAGGTGATAAATAGTCAGGATGCTGTAATTTTTAAAGTTTTTATTGGTGTCGGTGTTTCAACCCAAGCATGTGGGTCATCATCAGGATTTGTTTCAAGCAGTGAAGGTGTCCAAGTGAATGCTTGGGTTGAAACGTTGGCACCAATAAAAATCTTAAAAATGACTGCGTCCTGACTATTTATCAACAATAGTATGTGGGATAGTCTACTAACTTCCTTTAATGAATCAATATTTTGATTAAATGTTTAGTTGAATAACAGTATATTGAGGCGCTCTAGCTAATATGGCTAGCATATGTTCCCATTAATTTATTTGTCTGTCTTCAGCTTGCTCATTTAACTGCTATTATACCAATAAAATATCTTGTTTTTATTTTATTAAAATTGTATTTTGATCAATTTATTATAGGTAGAAGCTGAAAGAGCGACTGTCCTTATGGATGATAGTTTCTCCCTCTCCCTAGCCGGAATCGAAGGTAGGGTCTGGCTAAAGCCAGAAGAGACTCCTGTTCCATGCTGGGATGAAGGAGATACCAACATCTGTGTGGCGCCTGGATTAGTCTGCAAGCATGCTACAAAGACTGCCGGAGGTGGTGACAATATTTCTGCTGCTGCACTTGCTGTGCAACTTTAATTGCCATTAAAGGTATCAGTTTGTTGTATTAATTATTGAGTTAGCTTCTGTCCTATATAGTTAAGTATTGGCTTCAAGACTCAAAGTTGAGCAAAATAAAGCTACATTTGTATTTAATAATCAGTAAAGAAGGTTTGCATGAACGGAGCAATGAAAATAAGATCAACTAAAAGAGAAACATGAACATCAGTAGATTCATAAACTAGATGTAAATTGATCATGTTTTGGCAGAATGTGAATGAGAAAAGAAAAGAACAGTATAATGAATGCATAAACTTATTATTTTAATCTGAATGTGGATAAGATCAGAAGGATAAAGTAATTGATTACATTAATTCAATTTATTAATTATTATTTATTACTAATTGATATAACTGAAGCTTAAAATTCATTAAATCACTTTCAGGGCTGCCTTTTTTACTTGAATGTTTTTATTGATAGGAATTGGAGAATTTAGGTTCCACCTATTTTTGAGATATTTCACTGCACATATTTTGTTTAATAGTTTCTAATTTAATGAAATTATTTTTTTTTCTGTTATTTTCAGTTGAACTGAATGCAGGTTCAAAAACTCATGATCGCTACAAGACCTGGAATAGTTAAAGTATAAATTATGTGTTCATTAAATAATAGCTATATTAAAATTGTAAAGAAAACCTTTACTTTGTATAAACACATTCCTGTTTATTAAGATTTAGTGACTGTCACTAATATGTAGCAGTGTTCATTTTAGCAATTTTGGAAATTTTTTTACTTTCTAATAACTTATTTTCATACTTAATTTTTAATGATTGCTAAGTCTATATATCTGTGTAATACTCAATTTTAAGTTATATCTGCTTATAAAAACAAAAAGAAAGCAAAGGAAAAATTATACAGTCTAGATCTAGTCAAGATAGTGAAATAATGTAATGCGAATTATTTGTTCTATGTATATTGTGAATGGAATTATAAATAATGGATGAATGCTGCTAAATAATGATTTAAATCTAACATTATTTTGAATAAGATCAGTTGCGATTCTTCATTCTTAAAAAGTGATATCGATGGCTTCATGACAAAGAAATTGAAGTTACCCAGCGAGACAGTTTTGAAAAAAATAGATACTTTTAGCGCTCACTTGGATGCCAAGATAAATATTTTTTCTATATTCTAGTCTAAATTAATGAACACTTAATTGTTCAATGTTTCATTGATTTTTTCTTATTTTTAAAAAATATAAGTGAATATTAAAAATACCTTGGAAAGTTATTAGGGTCCATTTCCACTCCTCTAATCCTGCCTCCCTATTCCTGTTCCTCCTCATCTTGTCCTATTATTGTCCAAGGTATAGTGATCATAAATATTTCTAGAAACTTGGTGAATGGCGAAATATCCAATAGGTATAATTGATTTATTTTCATTTCGTTTATTGGTTTATTAATGGATTTAGAAAACAACTGGGGATTATTCATTATTAATTAATTAAGTTAGACATTGAATTAGTTTTAAGCAAAGAATATATTATTCTTGTCAGATTATTTTGATTGATTCTAAGTGCAACTAGGAAAAATAAATTTTATATGATGTTATCAATTTTTGTTATTAGATAATTTTAAAAATTTAATATTCCAAATTGTTTTACATTCGATTTTTCATGTTCAGGTTTCAATTTTTTGTATTAAAACTATGAAAAGCAATTAGGTTTACTTTTGTTCGATAGACAATAGTTATTATAAGTGCCATACTGTCAAAAGTTTCTTGTAAATAAATTTTGACTTATTGTATGTTTGAAATAGCTCAAGTTCTGCATTTATCTGAACTACATATTGGTTAACTTAGTTATTATTGGTATTTTTTTCTTCTAAATTTATGAGTTTGAATCTCAAAAGTCTTTTTTAATATATTAAACTTATAGCAAAATCTTCTATATATAAATTTGGTTTGATCAGAACTAGGGTAAAATGTTTAAATATTGTTTTATTGTCATATGAGGAATTAATAATACCGCTGGATCCCTGTTAATTATTTTTCATAATTTAATAAATATGTTAATGCTAATGTCTTAGTGCTAAATATTTTGCTCACATTTCCTGTAGGAACCACTGTTTTATCTTCATCTTATCTAGTGTGTTTTAAAAGTGACCAAGTACAATTAAACGAATTAAAGGAAAGTTTTAGATCCGAAATAGCAATTTTGAAGAAAAAGCTGAGAATCTTTTTTATAGGCTTCTTTAAAAAATATATATTTTTTCATTCAATGATGATTTATTCATTTTCATTTTAATAAAATTTCTTTACCTTGGTCAATCTAAAACGCCTAGCAACCAATTTGACTATTTATTGAAATCTCTCTCTTGGCCATCAGGTCCTTCCATTAAAGGTTTTTCAGCCTTATTTCTTCCTGGAAAGTCAGTGTTTTATGCTATTTTGAAGGAACTACCCGCCACAATCCAGCTATGCCCTCCCTGCTTAGTCTATGTCTCCACATTACAACTGGGAGTCGTCCTAGATTATTCAGCTCCTAGTCCTAATGTTTTCTCAATTTTAGGACTGAAGATTTTTCGATGAACTTTGTATTCCAAAAGTTTGTATGTAAGAATCTATACGTTGTGTGATTAAAAAATCTTGTAGCATTTCCAAGTCTTTGCTCCACAAGGAAGAAGAGCTACCTTTATGTGAATCTAGTGAATTTCTATTTTTAGTCATCTTAAGGTGAGGAATAAGAGTGATAGAATGCTTCACTAGTACTGAATATTATAACAGACAAAATTATATAACTATAAAATTAAACAAAATTAATTTTAATAATATTCCTTTAATTATATAAAAAGAATTAAATCAGGCACAAAATTCTTATACTTCTTTTTAGGACCTCAGAAAAACAAACCTAATCTAGATATACATCAGCATTTTTCCATGTTATCAATGTTGTTTTTTTACTTGCTGATACTTGAAAAAAAAAGTTTTGGAATTTAAATACTAGCAGATAAAAGCAATCAAGGAAAACTTTTAATGATGATGCGCTGATCTAATTATCTTAATCTTTACTTAAAATTTAAATTCAAAATGTTAATTTTATTGGAACTTGCTCACAATTTTTTTATTATACAGTAATATCATAAATAATCAAAAGTAATTTTCTGGTTATAACTTATTAATTGTTGTTCATTGGTTATAAGGGTTTTTAAGATGTTTTACATAACTATTTATTAAAATTATTGTTTTAATTTTCTTTTATTATGCATTTGTTTTGCTATATATGTTAATATGATTTCTTCACCATTTCCAATAACAAATTTTGTTATTATACGTAATCCTTACAAATTAATAAAATTATATGATATGTAATAGCAACATGTTTGGAACTTATAGTTAATCAATTATCTATATATTTATTAATTATTTTTAGGCAAATATCTACTAAAAATTTATGTATTATATTTCAGTTGTTTATATATTATAAATTTTACATATGTTTAAATAACTATATTAAGGAATATTGCTGTTGATGTTATTACTTTATTTTGTCTGGACTAAATTTCATTAAAGATAGTAGCATAGCATATAGTGAAAATGTGATATATATTTAATATTATTAAATCAATTTTTATGGTAGTTTTTAGTTTTATTACCTATTAACTCGCTACAATAAAAGCATATAGATTTTAAGAAATGCTGTGTATTGTGATTTTAAGACTATACCTTTAAAAATGGCTGGTATTGCATTGTGAAGAAAATACTATTGAAAAGAAAGCTGTGAAGGTTGAGGCTTTCTGGCAAAGCCCTCCAAAATGGAATTTTTTTTTTCATTGATCTATGTTTGTTACTTTGAGTAATTCAAGCTAAATACTTGAACAATAACAATAATATTCAATATTAAAAAATAATCTATAAAATATTGTTCATATAATTTTATTTTTAATATGACTTCAAGAATCACTTAAGCAGCATTTCATACAGGTAGGTAGTTTGTTGTTTTTCTTCCAAAGTAATTATTATTTATTTGAAAATTAAATCCTGGATCCACTACTGTGTTCATGTGTTCTGAATAAGAAGGCATATATCCCAAATAAAATGTGCGTACTTAATAAACGATAAAGGATAAAAAAAAAAATTATTTCTTTGATGCTAGTTTTATGTTTATTTCATAACATTATATTTAAAAAGTGAAGATAATTATTGGGGATACCGGAAAGTAATGTCGTTTTCTTACATTGAATTAAAATAGATAAACGTCCCTCGAGTTTTTATTTTTAATCATTGACCAGAAATAACCCTCATTATCAACAACCTTTTGCCATCTTGTGTAGTGTCCAAATATTCCATGCAAGATCGATAAAAATCAATTGGCATTTGAGTAAACTATATAGAAATGGCATTTTGGATATCATTCAAATAAGCAAATCTTATGCCACTTGAAAAGTGTTGAAACGTTCCGAACTAATCGAAATCTGATGCTGCAACATCTAGGGAGTAATTTGTTGCAGAATAACGCCTTCTCTGTTGACAATCACTGGCCACTTTTCAATTAAAGATTGATTTACACGATCCAATTGTTCACAGTACAGGTCTGCATTAACAGCTTGTCCATGTTTCAGCACTTCAAAATGAACAACGCCAGGAATACTCAACCAAACATACAACAGGTTTTTTTTGTGGAGTAAACCTGGCTTAGCAGTACTTCCTGGCGATTCTTATGGAGATAAATTTTTAATATATTTTTCCATAAAACATGGTTATATTTTAGCATTTTGGGGGAGCTTCAGCCCGAAAGCCCCTCCCTCCCTCTCCGTAGATCCACCTGTGATGGGGGATGAAAAATGAATCTAATCCAAGGAGGATCTAATGGAGAGAACCACTGCCTTCTGCGTTTTGGATTAGATCCATTTTTCATCCCCCGTCACTGGTGGATCTACGGAGAGGGAGGGAGGGGCTTTCGGGCTGAAGCCCCCCCAAAATGCTAAAATATAACCATGTTTTATGGAAAAATATATTAAAAATTTATCTCTTAAAGTATTATTGCTTGTGTAATTACATTTAAAAGGACTTAAGGAATCATTTAAACACCATTTCATATAGATAGTTAGTTTCTTTCTTTTTTTCCAAAGTAATTATAGAAATTTTTATGAAAAAAAAAGGTTTCGGGCTAAAGCTCCCCCTCCCCCCCAAAAAAAAATTTATCCACTGGATCCGCTAGTGTTTCCGGTGATCAAGAGATCAAAAAACGATTCTGTGTTGTGCCGTCGAAGCGGTAAGTTGCATATATTGATTTCCTAATTTGCTGCAAATGTTCTTGGATGCTCGATCCAGGTCTGACAATTTCTCGATTGTCTTACATGTATTTGATTGAATTCCGCCCTTAACATGCCAATGTCTAACGTCGTTGATTCAATATTCTAGCTTTAAAAACTTTAATTATAAAAAAAATAATAAAATTATGTATAAATGTTTTGTTGTATTTGTTTTAAATGATATACGCTTCATCATCTTATTGACTATGATCTGATTTCAAATCGGTGACTCATTACGGTTGTCAAGAATAGTCCTGGCAAATTCCGGGGTGCACCGACCTGGAATGGGAACCCGCGATTTGTGAGGAATGAAAAAAAAAAAAGTAGTATGATATTAATTGATTTTAGCTTTTGAGTAAAGCAACTGAATTTTGATACATTGAATGAAATAAAATTCCAATATTGCGCAATATAAAACAGCTTAAGAATTAAATTAATTTTTTGGGGGAAGTGACGTCATTGCTCAGGGGCGCCAAATGTCTAAGGCCGGGATTGGTCAAGAATATAAATCTTACTAACAGCGTGGATGGTTCCTATATTTTGGATCATAGGCGTCGATCCTTATTGAAAAGTGGGGACTAGTCCTCCCATTTCTCCCCAGCCATATTTGAAATGGTCCGTATGTTTATGGTCCAGTAAGTGTACGAGTATACGTAAAATAGCTTACAATTTTACACAATTGTTTAACAAATGCATAAGAAAAATTAAGTTCACTGTTATTATTATAGAAGCCCGCAGTATTACTTTTTCTGAGATTAATTCCTGTCTAGCCGCGTACAAACATTATTTGAACCCCCGCTAGGACGAGCTTTTAAGATTGTATTGCTTGAACACGTTTTCATGTGTGACTCCAAACAGCTGTTGGCAGTTTCTCATGGAGTGTGTGAATATTCCGATCTATAAAGCGCTAGCAGACGGTCAATCGGGGATGTAAACAGAAGTCAGATGTGGCGTCAAAAATGTGGGCTCGTGTGCTGGATCTCATGCGGGTACTCCACAATAGTCGGCTTTTTATCTTACGCCATGCTCAATAACGACACGGAATAATTTCCATGATCCATTATTAAGAGATGCAGTTACAAATAATTACTTATATCAAGATTTAAATTATTTTCTTAAATGCAGGACCTTATTTATCACTAAGGAATTGTTTTAATTTAATTTATGAAGAAATCTTAAACGTATTATATACGAATTAAAAAAAAAAAAAAGTAAACCATTGGCAGTTAAGCTAGATATCTCAGCCCGTTTTTAAGGCCTCCGATTGAAAAAAAAGCTATTTAAATACGACTTTTTTTTTTATGACGTGCATTTTAGAATACCATTATCTAATGGACTCGTCTAGTAAACTTTTTAAATTTAAATATCATATACATATTTATAAATTGTCTGTCTCAAAACCGGTTATTACCTAAAATAAGCTTATAAAGCTCAAATGCCATGAATACGATATCGTTAATGAATGGAATCCACATAAGAGAATCGCACTTTTGGAAAAAAAAAAAAAGAAGGTAAAAATCACTATTTATACTGAATAATTGTCATTATAATGAAATGAATAATAAATAAACATTATAAGCTAAAAATCATTATTTCTGTTCCTTTTTAAGTGAAAGCATAGAAAAAAATAACCGAATGAAGGTACATTTTGAAAGATATTATCACAGAGTGCACATGCACTTGAAATTTTAGACACTACCCTTGTTTGTTTATTGAGCCGCCATGTTCTTCATTTGAGTGCCAGCCAGCGTTTCAAGTGGGTGGGATCGTGAGCGAAGAGGTAGGGAGGATGGGTTTGAAAATATAGCTAAATTATTTATTATTATATCGGTATTATTTATATCGATATTAAAATTTGACTGTCGTAAAGGATATTCTTTCAAGAAGAAAAAACGTCGGGTTCAACAACCAAAGAATAAAAAATAAATCTTTCTGCAAGTAAACTTGTGATGTGGTGTTTTTATGTTGATATATATTGTACTATTGTCGTCAATCTACGTTTCGCGTTTTCTTGTTTCTTGTCTGGCACCACCTAAGTTTTCTTTCATGATACCGGTAGTTTGTAAGTATTTTACAAAAAAACGATTCCACAGTTGTCATGTGTGATTTTTAGCGGGATATATATTTTCCGAATATCAATAATACCATACTTTTTGACTAGTTTCTTTGTCATCTGAAAAAATATATTAATAATCAATTGTTACTATTAATAGTATTACAAATACCATACATTAATTTTAACCCTCTTCTCCTTCTTTTAAAGATTCAAAATATGGAGGAGCGAAATGTCGTTATTTTTTATTGACATTTCGATATTACAACCCTGCGAAGAATTCAAAATATCTTCTTCAAAAGTACCTTCAATTTGGTTCATTGGTAATAATTAACTGGTAGTAACAAAAATATCTCAATATATATTATTTGAATTTGATAGTTAAGTAAAGGAGAAAGAAAGGAAAAATGTTTTTCCAAGTTGAAAACGAGTTTTTGCTTTGATAAATATCTCCAAAATTCTCAAAATATTTTAATCTATATAAGTCTAGGTCCATTAAAAATACAAAGACGTCTTGCAATAGCTCAACTTTGGTAGGAAATAACTTCAAGTCAGAATAGTAACTGAAAGTTTTGTTGTGTGCGCATCTATTTTTATTTTTAAGTATAGTAGCATCAGTCCATTTTTTCACAGACCTAGATATTAATAAGTTTAATAGATAACACTCCATTGAATATAAAATTGCTCGTAAATATAAAAACAGGATATTTTTTATTATTTGTTTTCTATAAAGAATTATAGTTCAATTACATTTTGTTTGTAAATAATTATTATAGAAGTATAGGGGAGTTATTGTTTCAAATAATATGAGGTATTAATATATCTATAATCCATGAAACCATTTTAATTAGTGCAATTCGTACTTACAGTTTACGTAAAAGATAAAAGATGATCTTGGGAAAGAGACTAAAATAAGTATTAGTAAAAAAATGTGTGTGTGTGTATGTATACATACATATATATATTTTAATTGTAAATAAAACAATGTTCGTTAATTTATAGATTTAAGTAATTTATATAATCTGATTTCAATTTTATTCACGTAAAATTAAAACATTTTAATATGGGTAACGCCTCTCTTCCTTGAAGGATTGGTCTCATTCGGTTATGTTATGTAACTAAGTGTGCAAGTGGGTGCACTGCTATATGCTAGTAAGTTTTTATTTATTTTTGTTGCTAATGTCCAATATTAAATCCTCTGAAAGATTATTTTATATGTTTTTTTTTACAGATGTAAAATTAAATTACATGTAAAATCAGATTATCCCTGAAAATGCCTGAAGAGGCAAAAATTTTGATAAATTTTAAATAAATTAATAATTATCGAGACTGTAAAGGAATTTTTTTTACTAGTAAAATATAATAATAAATGAAGATTTATTATTTAAATGGAAACTTTATATTCATAAAAATTTACGTACAGTCACCATAATTGACATCTGTATCTAAACTAAAATTAAAATAAATACTTTTTTTTTTTAAAGTTCAGTACTGTTTTATAAAGTATTTTGCTTTAGGCACATAAAAATCTGCTCTCTGATAACATAGTTTGGTCATAATCTCCGAATTAAGTTATATTCATTCACGCAAGTAAGTGGAGCTGGTGTGTTGGAATACGCCGAAACATTAGACACGTGAGCCCGGAACAGCAGACAATAATACACAAAGCGTCAACAGAGGATGCCATAAGTTGCATATAATTACAGTCGTTTAGTGCCCCCATGTAGTGACCGCTGGGGCATATGCTGGTAGCCCACGTGACCCCTATCGCTATTAACTCCGATGGTCGTTAGGGTCGCGTGGGCACTCGCTCCCACGAGATCTTGTTTTTCTCTTCCATTATATCGTCGGTAAATGATTCTCCTCTCGTCTGCAGTGAGTGATTTCACAAGGGGTGTCTGCTTCCCAAGGAAGATGAACTATCAGTGATGTTTCAATACCATGTGCACCCCGGTTCAAGAATACCGGCATAATTCATACAGTAGGCCCTCATGTTGTATACGGTACCATATATAGTTGAATAGAACAGAGAACCTTCAAACAATAAATATTAATTTTTGCATTATTTATAATTTATAATTAACATGCTGTCGTGTGTTTGTCGCGAGATACAAAGTGAGTCAAAATCATTATTTTAATTGGGCTATATTTTTAACTCCTGAAGTCTTGTGGTTTGATTGGCTCCTAACTGTTTCGTAATAGATTTATTTAGCTCATATACCTAAAGAATACAGAACTTCAAGTTAAAAGTATTGAGCTAGATATTGTACGCATGACTTCATGCCAAAAATTACTTACTACTCAAGGACTTGGATGTCGTCTTCCAAATACGAAAAATAAATTCATTGCAGATCAGCTTACAACATGAAGTCTTTAATACAAACAATGATACCTACCACTAATCTATACGGCCTGCTCCAAAGACCAGGAGTAGTGTTGCCCAAAATCTTGCACTTTGCAAGACCAAGACCAAGGCTGCCTAACTGTTGCAAGATCAAGACCAGGACTGGTAAAAAAAAATCGATTTTTTAAATAAAAATCAAAGCAAAATAGTTACTAATACTTGACAATCTTAGTTACTATATGTTAATAATTGGTATAGCCAATATACTTTTGCATTTACCTCCTCTAATTTTTCATTCAGGCTTAGTTAGATTTCTCCTATCTAAAAAATTACAGTAATATCTCTATAGTAATAAGCTAATAAGTAACAGCAAGACTCTTGTGCAAGACCAAGACTGAGTTTGCAAGACCAAGACTCGTCCGGTCTCGCATTTGGGCAACACAAACCATAAGCTAATTCAGGATTTACTCTCGAGGGACATGTAACGAGTTTGGAAATAGAAGACAGCTCTACATCCACATAAAGTTCCTCTTTCACGACATTTTTAAATGTCACTGATAAAAACTGTTTTTTTACTCCAATTTAAACAGTGAACTTGCATTAATATCTGAATAAACCATTGACCTGGAAGACTCAAATTCTCACTTCATAATAAAATTATAGCTACAGGCTTTTGTAAATGGATTCTAATTATTCTTTGTTTTATCTTATACCTATTGACTTTTGGCTTCCACCAGGATTAGTCTAACAGTCGTTTTTGAGTCCGATTTTGAGGAATTCGGTATTGGTGTTCGCCGTATTGGCGTATTGGCATAGATTACAGTTAAGGGTAAATTATGGTAAAATTAAATTCCGTATAACTTATACACTTATTTGTGAACATTGTATATGGTTTTTAAAATTTTATAATAAGTTTATTATATTTTTTTAGTTATTCGAAATTTAATTTTACCATTTCTCGTAACTTTTTTTCCAGCTTCTTTTCGTTGAAGTATGTTATATAGATAAATTTAAAGTGAGTCGAGAAAAAGACTTTAGCGAAGTTTCATTGAAATCGGTACATTCGTTTAGGCGCTACAGTCTGTAGAAACGCAGGTTTTTCGGCCGCCGTTTTGAAAGTAAAAGGCGGATAGTAATGTCGATGAAAGAGGATGATCCTCAGGTGAGTTCTGATTTTATATCCAAATTTGAAAAAAATCGGTCCAGAGAAAATGCGCGGACGGCGGACGACAAATAAATTTTTCGAATTCGACGAATCCTGAAACGTGAAACCTCAAATTTTGAGAGAGGGTTAAGTTTTTGAATTTTTTGGTCGATCACAATGGTTCATTATTGAAAATAATAAACAAAAAATTGAAAAAAATTATTGCTTACAGGATATAGTTCAATTACAATATTATATTTTAAACAAGAAACAAAAATTATGTAATTTTTTTTCAAATGCTACATATTAAAAAAAATTTATTTATATTTTTCAAATTACTGTACACTATGCATCTCAGTCATTAATTTTTTACAACCGACAAAAAAAATTATAAAAAAATCACGGTGTAATTATTCGTTGAAGATGATAATGGCCTAGGCAACTCCCTCATGCCCTGGGGATACCCGCCGGGTCAGTGAGGATGTTGGAAAGCGATTAGCATTCTTCCGATCACAGTGACTGGCTCGTTATTGATCGGCATAATCATCAGCTGGGACAGCGTCCCCAGTGATTGATGGCCTGCGGTATGGCCGCTTCCTCATTGGCTTGTATAGTTTTTAACAACAATCTCTTTGTAACAATGTTTGCTTTATTGTAGTTTCCATTGGTTTACCTATGAGAGATTAAAGATAGACTTAGGAACTGGATTGCAATACGTAGACCGTAAGCCACGTTGATTAGAACTTCTTAGCGATTACAATTTTATTAAAATTGTAATATAAACAAAATTAAATTCAAGATGACTCAAAATCAAAGTTAAACGCGTAGAAAATCCTCGTTATTTCCGTTTCACGTTAACCGCACAGAACCGTTACGAACAGCGCATCATAAATATTGCATAGAACAGTTAGCAGGAAGAAGGGTGATTCATTAGTAGAACACCGAATTGTTTGGCATGTACTCGATAAATAAAATTTAAGTTTAAAACATACCCCACTTATCCCAGTTGAACAAATCCAATACTTTGGACTCCACTTATACCAACATCTAACTTGGAATCCTCATACAGACTGAAACGACAAGAAACCGCTCGACGTTTCCGACTACTCCAGCACTTAGACAAACGCTCTAAGCTCCCAGTCAATTACAAAAGACTCATATACATGACTACAATAAGACCTTTTTGGACTTACGGAGTTGAGCTCTGGGCTCCACTAAGCCATCGAATCCCTCTCGTATCCAATTCTTACAATCTAAAATCCTTCGTAAGATCCTCACTGCTCCTTTGTCACAAATAAAATCATCCGTAACGACCTTAATGTTCCTTATGTTTCTGACATGACCCAATCCAGATACCTATCCTTCCATAACAAACTTCAGATACATCCAAACCCTCTCGTTTCTAACCTTACTTCCTCTTCGATCCCTGACAACCCTCCGAGGCATCTGAAAAGAAGATGGCCTCGAGATCTGCTTTTGTAAATAAATTTTTAGAGTGCTACCAGTGGGTAGTTTCTCAACAAGTGGTTTCATGTTATTATATTCTTTTGTTCACATTTACAGAATGTATTTTTATTTTTAATACAGGCGTAAATATCATCAATGAAAAAAAAAACATTGCTTGAATGACATGCATGGGCTTTTAAGTTTCTAGCGTTGGAAAATGAACGAATCACTAAAATGATGGTCAGCGCTAAACGTACGATTAAACATCTTAAGAGTCAACCGAGCACTTCAATATTATTGTATTTGATGAGGATAGGAGGGAGAGTCAAGAGATCAAAGATTGTTATTATTGCTTCAATATTTGGTCCTAATTTCAAAAGATTTTGAAAATCTGTTCGATTTCATCCGGTTAGGAGGACATACTTTTATTTTGTTTCGAACCAACAAAGTTAGTCTTCACCTTCTCACTCTTACTGGAACGGAAAAACAACCAGTAAGATAATCCGCCCTTCTTACATTAAATTAACACTAACTGGCTGTAAACGAATACATATGTATTGGTTCCTATGACCCAAGATGAAATTGAATTAAGAGTAATGCTTATGTTTCAAAAAAGAACTCGCCTCTTCGTCCAGTTCCATGTAGTATGCATCACACCTTCCCAGTGACCTTTAGTAAATTAACAATTATACTTTCAGAATTAGATTCCTGTACTCTGTGCAATCTCTAGATCAGCCAACAAAAACGGCGTTACCTTAACGAACTCATTTAATAAGTGGAGATGATATCTCAACGAAGGCCAGGTCGGGTCTCGCATTCCACACGCTTCGCGTTACATAAAGCGTCCCTAGTGGGCGAACGTTTGCTTTTGGTTACGATACGGTCTCTTTCGGAGATGTTGGTGAGAAAGCGAAAAACAGGCGTGTAATAGGTGATTTGGACGCGTTTATGTTCCCTGACTGTCGCTAATTACGCAAGAAGGTTATGTGTGTGTTTGTTAAAGCTGTTGATTGGTTTGTTCACATTCACATAAAGAGAGGATAAGTTAGGCATCTCACCTTGGAAAGGAATTTTCGATATAATGTAATGATTATGCTAGTAATCACTCAATAATAAGCCAAATAATACTGGGATACATTTATTACATGAAAAAAAAATAGATATTTAAATAAATAGTTAGATATTTCCAGATTGTAAAATATCGTTACTGATCTTGCAAAAGCTCGTGTGTAAAATTTGAGTTTTTATTAGTATATATTTTTATTTTACTCTATTATTTTCCTATTTAGTAGATTACTTATAGCAGTTACGGACTACAAACTGTCACCTTTAGCGCAAAGAGAATAAACATATAAAATTGTTAAATACAACCTTTTGCACTAACAATAGCAGAGAGATGTAACTGGAAATGTAATTGTGAGGGAGGCGTCTTTATTAGAGAATTGGAGCTGTGAACTCTCACTGGTGGCTGCACTGAGATGCGGCAAAAGTAGGAAGATTCGAAAAACTGATGAAGGAACCAACTCAGAGGTTGATTTGATATTTTATTCTAGGTTGTTTGTCGTATTTATTGATTTACCTGCTTAAAATTATCTTCAATTAAACGTCAAGCACACAGAAAAATATTCTTTTCAATAAATTATCCCAGTAAAACTAAAAAAAGACACATTAATATTCAAATAAACCTCCAATGATAGGCTTGAAAGAACAATAGGAAGGTTAGATAGTCTAGTGGCTACGTCACAATGCAAGTTCCCCCACCACGCATTTCTGAGTGAGCGAACCTGGTAGTTTTACTGACCTTATTTCGCGTGTAAACTAAACTACATTGTGTAGTTCAGTAATGAGGGATCATTCTTATTATCGATTTACTACCAACAAATGAATCGATTAACATAGAGAAATTATATAATTATTGCTTTGCAGTGGAGATATCTTGCTAGAGTTAACAAAGAATACGATACCTTCTAGAGGTTGACGTCTGGTTGAGAATTAGACCCTTTTTCATGTGATATTCTTTTACTATATTTATTTTTCGAGCATCCTACTAATTATTATCATATTGACATCATATCTAGCTTGCGCATGTTGTTATTAATCATTTTAGTTTTTATATTTAAATTTTTATTTGGATAGATTGTTTATAGTGAGTTAGTGTTTATTGTGAAGTTAATAGATCATTAATATATTTATTATAGATAATATTTTTAGTAGATTATATTTATTAACTACATAAATTATTTAGGCATGGTTCCATGCATGATGAACAATACAATATAGAAGCTCAGTTATATTTATTTATTATTTTTCCTGTCACCCATCTTACAATAATTTATGCAATACTGGTTACACAGTGATGAACAGCTTCATACAGATTTAAGTGTGCATGCTGCAATTCAAATTTACAAATACTACAGTTGGAGATGTTCACAATACTGGTTTTGAGTTTTCTAATTATAATTACCGATAGGCGATTTATGTTTAATAATAAAATATATTGCAATTAGTAGCGTTTTGTCGCGTAATTTAACAATATTTTTATTTTTTTATTATTGTCGGTTTCGAAACAATAATCTTTCTTCTGCAGAGGTATAACCGGGGTTGCTTAGATTTTTTCTTGTTGAAATTCACATCTATTTCTTTGAAAGACACAGGAATGCGTTACAATTCTGTAAGTATTCAGCTATCATGTGCGGCGTATTGCTCTTCTCATTGTCTATAACTTTTTTACAAGAATTATAAATGTTGCTTCCATCGTAATCGTCTAATCTTCTTCCTAGATCATACATAAGACACTGCTTTGCATTAGCTGACCCACGATTTAGTTTTTGGGGATTTAACTTTATTATGATAACGGTATGTACAATAATCCTTTACAAAAATATTAGGAATACAATGTTTATGTTTTTCCTTGACAGTTGCTTACATTTAGAAGGTGTACTATATGAGCCTTTCAGTTGACAGAATATCTAACTCCAATTTCAACATTTTTAACTATTAAATTTTGTGATATTTCTAGTGGTAAAATTTATGTCTTTATTCACAGTTCTATATTTCAATACACCTATCACTTACTCTGGAATCAACTGACTGTCTGTAAAGATATTTGGTTAGCAAATAAGTCCTTTCGGTTTTTCAGAGTGAAATAAAACTCAATGTAATACAAACATAAAATGTATTTTAACCTACAATATATTGACCATTATTTAATATTTTTCTCCATCTTTTCACTAACTGCATAATGCCATGTTCATAGAATGTCTGGAGTTTGTTGTTAAAAAACTGGTCCAAGTGTTTTTTTGATGTCCTCTTTCTAATGGAATTTCTTTCCATTCATGGAGTTCTGCAGAGACCGGTAGTCACTTGGAGATAGGTCTGGTGAATAGGGAAGGTGGAGCAAAAGGTCTCATGCAACGTTCAATAATTTATTGGGAGTCAGCAATGAGGTGTTGTCTATAGAGTTATCTTGGTGGAACATAACACCCTTCCGATTTGCCAGTTCTGGGCGTTTATTTTAATTGCTGTATAGAATTTAATCAAATGTTTGCCCTGATGGCGATAGCTCATAGAAAATAACACCCTTGGAATCCCACCATATGGAAAGCATTATCTGACATTCTTCTGGGAGCCTCTCTACTAGATTCTCAGTATTTTCTACTGACTACATTATCGTAAAATATCCATTTTTTTATTTTCTGTTACCAACCTTTTCAAAAATGGGTTGTCTTGTTGCCGTTTCTGTTGTGAATCACAAACAAAAATGCGTGTTGCTAAGTTGACTTCTGTTAGAGAGTGGGGATCCAAACATCAAGCATGGAAACATAGCCGAGCTTTTGCAAATGGTTTTCTAATCTTGTGTGCGACACATTTAGGACCATAACAATCTCTCGCACTGATTGGGTGGAATATTGACCAACAATGGCCTTAACATTGCTCGTTTCAATTTTATGTTGGTGACCAGACCGTTGAGCATCATTGATTTCAAAATTTCCTGAATGAAATTTGACAGGTGCGTTCGGTTAAGGCATCATCCCCATAAACACTGGAAATTTTTCTATGAGCTTCTGCAGCACGCTTACCTTTTTTAAAATAATACAACAAAATATGTCGATAGTGAATGATATTTTCTTCCATATTCACAGTACAATAGCAAACACAATACTAATCTGGTTTTAACGAGAGTTAACAGATATAGTTGTTGACATATTACAAACAGGATAAACAATCCATATTAGGGATTAATTCATCAGATAAGAAGTGTAACATAGTGACATCAAAATAAACAGAAAAACTGAAAGGACTTATTTGCCAACCCAATATTATAAATTTTCCAACAAGAAATACCACTAAAATGTCTACTCAAAAATGTTTAACACGGCGTTAGTCATTCTGTCAACTGAAAGGCCCATATACTAGTACAGTAATTGTGTTACAATTTAAACAAAGAAATATTAGGATTAGTTAAATATTTGGGTCAGATTACTCATGGAAACAAATATGGAGAAAAAATAATGTTGGAGGAGGGTTAAAGATTTGTGAAAGAATTATGTTAAGGATTATATTTTTTAAAAATCAAATTCTGTTCCCCATTTTCTTTCACGATTGTGGAAATATATTTTCCTATCTTGCCTGTATTCTAGAAACGGCTTAGATGACTTACAACAATTTAGGAGAAAATTTTAGAAATGGTGTACAAATGATCTAGTACCATTTTCATTTCAAATTAAAATTCATGCAAGCGTTAAGAATATACTGTCATATGAGAGAGGTAGTGAACATATGAGAATGGGAAATTATATTAATTTTTAAACTTAATGCCATTCCATAAATGTGCTTATGCGATCAGGTTTCAATAAAATTATAATCGTAGTGAAGTTTATGTTTATAGGCGTATTTTATTCTCTTCCATATAAAATTGGCAAGAAAAATATACTGAGTTGCATGTCAATTTTTTTTTTTAATTTGTTTATTAATATTGCTTTTCAAAAGCGTATACAAACATTTCCAATACTTGTATGTTGTAATGAAAAAACATTTTTGCAACATAAGCGATGTATGAAATTAAGTGATAAAACAAGTCAAACTACACGGCAATTAGCATTATTCAATACAGCGGGTAAACTTCCAATAAAGCGAAACAAATGTTTGAAATCCGCCGAACGCCAGTCATGGGCATTCGTGGTTTTATGGCTGTGAAATGTACACAACATTATTTGTTGCTTATAAGTACGACATTAAGTTAGAAATGCTTCGAGAATTTCAATTATATCTTTTAAAGCCTGGTGCGGGATATTCGTTCGAAATTATTGACGGGTATAATTACAACAGCTATCGTTTGTACTGACTCGAGTTTTACTTCATCGCTATTTAATTCTTAAATAAATACACTGTCGAGATAAGGCCGGTTAGTAATTAGGGCTGTACATGAATGTATGGATACATTATCAGCTGTGATCGCATTTTATCCGTACGCCACTTGTTCAAGATCATTCCCAATAAAAGTTACGATCTAGTTGACAATAAGTGCTGACAGTTATCTGGTTACAGGGTCACCTTTGACCTCTCCCCGTGGGTCCACTCGACGGTATCATTTCACATTAGTGATACTTATCGGTCACTAAAACCAGTCAAGTTGCCGTAATGCCGATTGCATTACCATACGCCAACGATACCAATACATTGCTTTAGTACTATTGTGTTTGTAGTTATTGTTTCGCCCACCTGGTTGAAATTAGTGTTAGTCACTTGTCCAGAAAGCATTTTCTATCATTAATCATGTTATATCACGTTTACTGTAAATGAGGTGTATTATGAAAG